ATATATTAATTATTTTATTATATTTATTAGATGTCTTTAAAATATTAAGTAAAGAATAAAATAGTGACTATTGTTTTGTGATATATATATATATATATATATATATATATATATATATATATTAAAAAAAATTCCAAAAATTATTAAACTCAAAGTTAAAAACTTAAATTAATTTTCTTCTACTAAAATTATGATATTTAGAAAAGAAAAAAAAATATAATTTCAAAAAGAAATACAAACATATTATACATATTATTTATATTAGAAATTAGATATATATATATATATATATATGTATATATATATAAATTATATTGATAAGATATTAAAATTATATAATTAGCTTTTAATATATTATAAAATATTAAAAACTACAAGTATTCTAACTAATAATTTTTTCAAATCTTTGATAAAAAATTATATTTTTTTAAATATATATATATATATATATATATATATATATATATATATATATTTGAAAAAAATAGAATTAATAAAAATATATATATAGATTTTTAAAATCAATTATTATTTTTCCTATGATAATTTTTTTTTTAATAATTAGAATAATATTTAGTAAGTCTATTAGATAGGTTGAGATTTAGAATTTTTTCATGTATATTTTAAATAATGGTTTTTTTGGATTTAAAATTTTAAAATTATGTATAGTTTAATTTTATGTTTTATTAATAATAATTATTATTTAATTATTAAATATACTATTATATATTTTTTATTATATTAAAATAACTATGATATATCAAAATAGATAAATTTAATTTAAATCAAAAATAAAATATAATATGTATAAAAGTATAATTTTTGTACTTTGATAATTCTAATAGAGAATTGTTGCTTAAAGCCACAAAGATTCAATTCTTAAATTGAGTGTTAGAAATAATTAGTATTTAAAGTTAATTATCATCTATAATTAAGAGTTAGAACAAGTCTAAAATATTTAACATGTTTGTTTAAATTGATAGTATATACATAATGATAATAGCTCAAGAAAAGCTAGTAAAAAAGAAGAAATAATATCTTAAAATAATTTATTAGAATTTGATATATTAATGCATAAAATAGATTAAATTTAGTAAGTTTACTTAAGTTTTATGCCAAGTTCTTATAATTATTAAGAACCATCTCTACTATATAAAAGAATCATTAATATTTTTTAAATATTAAAAATATAATAATATTTATTTATAGAATAATTTTTCTCTTATATATTACTTATAAATATGAGATCAATAGACAAGCAATAGATAGGATGAAGAATCCTTTGTATAATTTCAATCCTTTGTAAATAATAAGTTTTTAATTAGTATTCTTTTATGGTTTAAATTTGGTAATTCTTTGTATAATTAGGTGATTGAATTAATATTGTAATGCAAGACAAGGAGGTTTATATCACTACTACTTAAAGACTCTTTAATATATGTCTAAATATTTTATGAATTACTTTTAAAAGATGTCACTTAGAAGTAATACCACAACTTTGTTACAAATATCATAGATATACAAAATAGAAAAATAAACTATTAAACAATTTTTTTTAGATAGCCTTAAGAAAATTTAGTTATTATTTTAGTATTAAAATAAGTTAGAACCAATTTAATTCTTTAACACTTATAAATAAGTGAAATAAAAGAATTACCACTCAATAAATGTAAGTTTGGCATGCAAAGTTGCTAACCAATTCTTTCTGAATTTTTTCAAAAATAAATTAAATAATTACAAAAATAAAGGTGTTTTTAATAACTATTTAAGAAATCAATTACTTCAAATAATATATATATATATATATATATATATATATATACATGTATCTAAGTACACATATACAAATATTTTTTAAGTGGATTTATTTAATAGTTTATTATAAAATATATTAATCCAATTTAAAAAATAATAATATTATTTTTTGTATTTGAGTGTCTAACCTTCATATATTTTTTTCTCAATGTTATTGAATTCAAATTTTTATTATAATTTATTCAATATATTTACAAATATATTGAATAGAATTTTAATATAGAATATCAATGTTAATACAGATTTTTATACAGATTTTTAATATTAATATATATTTTTTAATATTTAAATCAATTAAATTTTGAAGATCTAATCTATTATTTGAAATGATTATGGATATCAATGTCAATCTGTTTGGCTGGCTTGGTTTAACTGTGTAAAACTCATTGGAAGTACTAAACCTGCTGAATAACTTCAAGCACAAAATAAAACAAACAAAAATATAATGTTTACATTTTCACAGAAAAAAAACAGTAAAAGTTTGTCAAAGACTTTAAAAGTTGTTAGATATAACCATATGATACATTGAAATGTTATTGGACACAACTCTCTTTGACCTCACCAAATCTACAAACACATATGCAAAATTCTTTTATCACAACAAATGTACCCACGCCCAAATACTGTCCCACACACTTGCCTTTCCTTTCATTACAGACACATCATCTTCCATCACAACCCCCCTTTGTAAATGCAAAAGTGGATGCCTAATAACTCAAACAAACATACACACTGTCCATGAAGCTAAAATGGAACCATCCCATTAGAACTATTTCCAAATGGCATCATGGGTCATAACCCTAAAATAAAATAAAAATAAAAATAAAATAGAAATGTTCTCATGTGAAACTATCCTAGTCCTTCAACAAGGCTAACAAACAAGGATGAAAGAGACTCCCACAAACCCATTCAAAAACAAAGTGGGGGGGGTCATAAACCCATGCAGCAGGATTTACATGAGCAATGCAGGGCAAAGGGGGGGGGGGGTCTTATGAATCATTTCATCAATCATCATCCACTCTATGCTGAGACTGTCCGTCCAACACAGGATGTCACATCCATCCATCCATCCATCCATATATCCATCCATCCATATATCCATCCATATATCCATCCATATATCCATCCATCCATATATCCATCCTTATATCCATCCATCCATCCATCCACATATCCATACATACATACATACATACATCCATCACCATGCAAACTTCATATGGCCCAGAATGATCATGGCTTTGTGCACACACACAAACACACAACAATCCATCCATTCAATTTGCAAAGGTGTAGTATCTTTCTCTATCTATATATCTAAATATAAATGTAATAGTGTATAGTACTAGTATTTTGTTTTACATCTTCTTTTACTTCCCTTATTATTATTATTATTATTACTCAAGCATGCATTCATTCATGGAGTCTGAACTGCCAAGGTAGGTAAGAGGGGGGATCAAGTCCCACTTGAGAGGCCCTTAAGGAGAGCCATTATCCCCCCCCCCCCCCCACGTAGTAGCACAGTTGAGAGACCACACCAAATGACCTCTCTCCCACAGGTTGACTTCTCATTTTCCTTTCTCTCTCTCATACTTCTGACGAGGGGGCCCCAATTTCTCCATACATACCTTCCCTGTGTTATAAATAAATCAGATTTGATCTGCACCTTCTGGATCTGACACACACATACTCACACATTTCTACATTTATGTAATGTATGTATGTATGTATGTATGTACATGGGTATTTGTATATGAATGCTTCATTGGTTTGTGTAAACAACCCCCTATGCACAGAGGCCTGATGTGATATAAAATACCCCTTTTGGACCTATCAAACCCAGTGTTCTCTTCATTAAGGATTACAGCATTAATGTAGAACTTTTTTGGTTGAGTTAATAGCTTTGTGTTATTTCTCAGACTATTGGCATGTTTGGGATGGATGTTTTGGTTTTGAAGTAACCATTAGGCAAGGAAGTCTGGGATTAGTGCATAGTTCTTGAACAGAATAGTGTCATATGAGGTTTTGTTTTATTTTCATTATTATGATTTTTCCATGGCTTAATTCTCATACTGATTTTGAAAGACTACTTTAAGCATTGCATGAATTTGGACCTTTGTCCAGTTGTTGAAAATCTGCAACCATGAAAACTTTACAATTGGTGACTGAGACAATTGGATTAATTATGTCGAACCCACAAATCATCACTTGAGGGACAAAATAACAATAACAAGAAGAATGGTACATATATATTTTGAAAGTCATGAATGTAGGTCATATAGCCCAGCCACATGTTCTTCTCCCAGACTTTCAATCAACATGGGGTCTGTCTTTGTCACTAGAATTTGGAGGATTCCATGCTGCTTGTGGGATTCCATCTCATGGGAGGACATGGTGTGTGTCCCATACAAGACCAAGGACCACCATTTCATTGCCCATTTTATATTTTTAAAATGAAAATCATAGATGTTAAAGAAGTATCCACACACACACACACACATATATATATATATATATAGATATAGATAGATAGATACACGTACAGTATTTACAAGAGTTTCTGTTGCAATAAATTAGTTTACAAGTGCCATGGTTTTATTGATGTAACTTATGATATTAATTACTTTTACAATCTATTATCTTTTACATTAAAGTATACAAACATTATGTGTATTCTTTAATACTTCAATCGATACTTTTATGCTTTAAATGATAAACAAGTTATTTTAACAAAAAGAACTAATTAAACCATGTCCCTCCCTCCCTCCCTCCCTCCCTCCCTGTCCTGGTGAGCGAACGAAGCTCCCACCAATTCACCCATCCATACATCCATCCATCCATCTCATTCACTGCAACCATCACTAACTATCTAACGAACTAACTAACTCCGCCCCTGGCGACGTTACCACCCCTTGTTGCATTGGCATTGACATTGGCATTGTGCTAAGCTGGCGACGTCACGCGTGATGCGCAGGGAGGACGACGATATCAACACTTGCAGGGCCGGCGTAACCACCCGGCACGACACAGGGGAGCAGCGGAGGAGGAGGAGGGCGTGGCCTCCACGGCTCCGCATCCCCGGCCCGGATATCAGGCAGCAGCCCACGCACACAACACACAACAACAACAAGCAGAAGAAGAAGAAGAAGAAGAAGAAGCGGAAGGAAGAGACAAGACGGGACGGGACGAGAGGAGAGCGCGGAGAGGGAGGGGGGGCTACGATAGATATTAAGGAGAATGGATGAATGTATTTATGGATGGATGGGTGTTCGTGGCGAGGGACGAGATGGTGGGGGCCACAACCGTGGAGGGGGCTCACGAGGGGCGGGGACCCGGGAGAGGCGGGCGGGCCCGTAACACATGAGAACCCCGTCGCACCCTCCCGCCACGTGCGCCGTTTTATCCGTACCCCGGGGACGCCCATTCCTCCCGTCCCGCCCTCTCCGTCTTCCCTCTTCTCCCCTTCCCCTCTCTGGCCCTGCCCCTGCCCTGCCCCTTTGCTTTTGCTTTTGTCTTCTCTCGCTGTGTGCCGCTCTTGGCCCCTGGTCTCCATGCTCACTGACTTGGTGTCGCGACGTTCGCTTTAGCATAATTCGGATTCGACGGAGGCGTAAGAATTGGATGTTGGATGCTTGGTTTCGCTATTGACGCGCTCTGCTCTCTGTGATTTTGTTGGAGCGTTTGAGCACCATGGGACGCGCTCCGTGCTGCGAGAAAGATAGCGTCAAGCGAGGGCCCTGGACGCCAGAGGAGGATGCTAAGCTGTTGGCCTGCATTGCGCAGCACGGGACTGGAAGCTGGCGCACGCTGCCAAAGAAAGCTGGTACCGGCAGCTAATACTGGATCTTGAGTTTCGCCGAGTTTTGAATGCGTGGTCCTGCATGCGCTCAGAGCTACAGTCATGGTCTCATTCAATTTGACTGCATTTTCAGAAGATAAAGTGTATGAAAGTATACTGCACGATCAATGGAAAAGGAATATTTTCTGCATGAACAACGGTAGAGAGCGGATGATTTTAGAGCGGCGGTTCTTGCTGCTGTAGTCGAGTGTGCTGATCAAATTAATCGCTCACATCTCCTCACTTCTAAGATAGCCTCACATCCCATGAGATTCATTCTGCTCATAAGATGACAATTTTTTTTGTTCGTCTTTTCATGGCTTCCAACAATTCCACTATACCTTATGGTTAAAATGATATTTACTATGTGCACGTCTGTGCTTGAAGATTATGTGCTTTTATCTTCAGAATTTAACTTTGTTACCCGTTCCACCATTTTCTAGCTATAAACTATGTAGTTTTCTAGCATTGCTGTTGATGTATTGATAGATTCACTCTCTCAAATCATTTTAGAAGCGTTGACTCAATAACCGAATTAATGAGTCGTTCGTGGGGTTCAACTCCTTGACTAGACAGTTTAACTAAACGAGTATAGAATTCTCGAACACTTTCATGTGCGTCACAGTGTTTTATGAACACAAGTCGTGCTGGTTGCAACCAAGATGAAGCGTCTTGTTTCGTTCAAGAGATGTCGAATATTTTTAATTAGCTCAAATCTAAACTAAAATCTTCATGATACGAAGTCTAGATAATTGAGCATGAATCCATGTGTGGAATCGGTCTTGACAGGTTTGCAGCGGTGCGGGAAAAGCTGTAGGCTGCGCTGGACTAACTATCTGCGACCAGACCTCAAGCATGGGCGCTTCACCGACCATGAAGAACAGCTTATTGTCAATCTGCATGCAGCCCTGGGGAGCCGGTAATTTGTACTACTCCTTCACTTTGATTTCTTCGGTGAGAAAGTCGCTAATGAAAAATGAGATTCTTCTTTATTTTATTAAATTGGCACACGACTTTGGTGAATGCAAATGTCTAATTTTCACTTTTACTTAGCTTAAACTCACAGTAAGGTTATCTCTCCAGCCTTATGGCACGATCCTTTTCTCTTACGTTTCAGCAACAACCCTACGATGGAGGAGCAGAACTTTTTTTGTTTTTTGTTTTTCTGCATTCAATTTCCGGGGATGATGACAAATCATGAGCTATTGAGAACTAACAAAGCATACCTTTGTTACCCATCACGCCAGAAACATGTGAAAGGAATCTCTACGGTGTCGAAGTCCTGAGATGCTTCGTTCTTTATTAGCGTCCTTCAGAAACGGGAAGTAAATTTTTGATAGATAACGGTTGTACTAGTAACGCTCATATTCAATTGCAGACGTACCATTGGGGCTCGAGAATATCTCTTATAACTCCATTCAATGCCAGAACTAAAAAGTGTCTGATCATTTTGATCTACGAAGTGCGTAGTTACACATCAGAACTCATTTGTCCTCCCGTAGGCTGACGAATTCTGTGCAGGGATGCACGAGTGGTCTGTACTTTGTACGTATCTTTTTAGGACGCATGCTAGAGGGGCCTTGCTTGTCCAACTAATTTAAAAACCGATTTAAGAACTTAAATACCCACAGCATATCATGATGTTCAAGAGATTGTGTTCCATTCCCGTGCAATGTTGAAGCTCATTTGTAAGATTTGCGGAAGTGATCGAAATGTCTCATTGAAAGAATTCTTCTAGCTCTCTCAACTATGTGTGATGTGGTATAAGAGGAGCCATGGTTTAACCCAAGAGGGCAAGTTTTCTCGTGCAACCAGCCTCGGCTAGCGGTCATATTGGCTCTAGGACACGACTTTCAATTCGTGTGAAGACACTATTGGATGCAAGTTATTTTCCACGCATATGCATATTTAGAGAAGTATACGAGGCTGAATATTTTTCCAGGCCTTGGTGGGAATTGAGTCTGGAGAGCAGATAACGTCCATTGAGTTGTGATACACATTCAGATCCAGACTGGAATAATTTCAGGTAGTGCATGGTCTCTAGTATTTACGGGTTGATGTAGAAATTAGGCTTTTCTTTTAATCATTTCCTGCTTTTTGCAAGAATCATGCATCCATGAACTTTATTTTTCTTCTTTTATGTATATCTCTGAATTTTATTCAAACCGCTGCCAGGACACCGTGTATCTAGACAATTTCAATAAGAAACCTCGACCTCATACTTGGCCACATCATACCTTACGAACTGCGTGTGTTTGATGTGATGCGAGGCACTAACAGAGGTGATACGTCATATTACTAGCATAACTCATGTGGAGAATCTGAATAGGACCTTGGCTTGTGTAGATGGTCCCTTATTGCTGCACAACTTCCAGGACGAACAGATAACGATGTGAAAAACTATTGGAATACACGTCTCAAGAAGAAACTGTGTGAAATGGGAATCGATCCTATCACACACAAACCGATTTCTCAGCTTTTAGCTGATCTTGCCAGCAGCATGGCACTTCCTAAAGGAGGTGAAATTGCCGAGGCTGCCCTTGGTTGCTTTAAGGACGACATGTTGAATGTCCTGATGAGAAAACGACCGGACTGGCAATTGGATGGCTCTAATGTAGCCTTGTCGAACACTACACATGGGTTTTCGGTAGGCCGCCAATCTTGGGACATGATTGGCAGTCCACGCTCTTGTGTCTCACAACCAAGGTCAGTCATTTCAAGTGCTTACAATCCATCTGTCTATGACCGTAGCAACCCAACGGTGACAAATCAAAATCTTCGAGTTGATGCTGCAGTGCAAAAAATAAAATACAGTCTCTCAAGAGCTGTACAAACAAAAGAGGTAATCAATCCATTGCAATATTAATAACTAAATATATCACACAAGCTTTTCTTCTCTGACATCTAAAGTAGTGGCAACCAGTGTATCCACTGTGCAGATGTTCCTTAGAAACTTCTTTTCTGCATGCTGATCAAATTTTGTTACGCTGTGCTATGTTGAAGTAGTACGATAAGTTACTGGTCTCAATCCTGAATATTCTCGAATCAAGAGTTCATCTTATATTACTTATCAAATACACAAGGATTGAATTGATAGATATGAAATATGTGAGAGAAGCTTCTGTGGTGTTACGTATTCCATCAATTAAAATAAGGGATGATAGCATAAATATTGGTCCTAAGGTTTTCATTATGGACATCCTGTAGATGCAACGTGTCGGAGATGCAGTTATGCCAAGAGAAGACTCCATGTCCAGAAACATGGCAGTGATAAATGGCCGATTCTACAGAGGAGAGTGCGGGATTCCAGGTACTCTACCGATAAACCGCGATCAAACTTGCTTATTGTCAGCTCTTGAAGTAGTTCCGTCGTGATTAATGAGTTTTTGTATCTACGAGGAGCTGAGAGGAGACAGGGATTTGGCGAGAGGTATGGAGTGGCGTGGATTGGAAAAAAACAACTAAAAAGTGGGTAATTCAATGAATTGCAGCATGTTGAGAGTTCGCAAACTCTAGTTTAGACCGCTGTTCTCACATGTTGAAGTTGTGAATCTGCAGGTGCAACATCAGGTGGTGCAAATTGCAGCATTCAGAATGTGCATTTTCCATGTATGGCTCAAACACCATACATTCCTACAGATCTTATGTGTGATCAACAAGAAACAAGCTCGAGAAGCAACTGTACAGAGAATCAGTGCGCTAACACCCATGTTCCAACAAGCTGCGAAATGGAACCATGGAGCCCTAGCCCAAGTGGTAGCAGTTGCAGCAACTCAAGTCTTGTCAAAGGCGATGTTGCTGGACTTGAGAAGGTTCTTAATTCTGATGTCTTTCTATGGGATTTTTCAGAGTTAGGCTCGATAATGAGTTAAAGTATATGTAATGAGTTAGTTATATAGGTGATAGAACTTTTATTTACATGCAACAATAGAAGTATAGATTAGGAAACTTGTCCCTTGGCTTCTTATTGGCCATGGCCATCCCTCACATAATTGTACAGAAGAAGCTCTCAGACTATGCTTGCTCCATCAAGCATCATTTTCAGTAGGTATCAAATTTTTGAAGAACTGAGGTAGTCATGATCCGTCACCGTTAGTGTCTGCTCTTGAAATAACTAGTACATCCAAAACTGTAAAGTTGCGATAGTCGTTTTTTGAAATTCCATTAGAGAAATCTTTATAAAACAGCTTGACCTCAAGCAACGGTGGATTTTCATGTTCTCCTCAACTAGTTTTTAGACATGCCCTTAGAAAGAATTCTGAGTACGTGAACCTGTTCTTTTTTCAAAACAAAAATAAAAAAAAGAAAGAAAAGACTCCTAGTCTTATATGTTCGTTTTTATGCTCCCAATGTTTTTATCGTGTCTGAACAAATCTTTCCTTTCGTAGAGGTTGGAAACCTGGAAAAAGTATTAGTGCTTCATTTTCGTGTCTATATCAGACAGCTGGGGAAGATTGTGACTGTACTCACGTTATCATGGCAATATTTACGGTATTGTAACCCTCGATTTGTAGCACGGTCCATCTGAACACTGCATCTAGGGTCAGAGTTATCATTTCAGGTTCTGCTCCATATGGCCGGTTATGTACAGCAGGTCATGCCATCGATTGGCAACTGAGTTCAAGCCAAAAGCTAAAACCAAAAGATGCCAATCAATGACATGAGCTGCAGCCACAGCTGCTTTGTATCCTTACCGAGTCCAGCAACATTGAGTCTTTTCCCCTTTTCTGCCAGTGTATTCGGCAACCCAACACAGACAAATGTTGGCAGGAAAAATACGGAACCAGTTATCATCGTAAACTAATCAAAGGACTCTCTAGTTCATAATCATGGTGTGCTGGATCAGTCGGTAGCGCAATGTTTACCAGAATCTCGTGAGAGACAGGCAGGGATCACCGCCACGAATTCACTGAAAAAACTTTCCGAGCAATTATCTAAGCACAGGTAGAGCTACACTGGCACCGCAATATGTATCATCCAACTCAGACCCATGTCCTGCGATCACACAGATGGCAAGCCTTTTTTGAGGCTAAAAACATCAAATCATGAAGTTGGGCTAAATGCTAATTTTTTATTGCGTTCTACTTCGTCAAGGGGTCAAAGCCCTACCGATTCAGTGAGAGCTTCGTGGCAAACAAGGTAACATTGCTTGTTCTTGCCAGCAGCGCTGCAACACTCAGTGCGATCCTCGGAATCATAGCGGACTTTTTATGTGATCTCACCATAGATTCAAGTACCGTTCGTCTTGAAGCTCAGATTCATTCATCATGTTGCTCAGCTGGTGTCAATGATCAAGCTTACGTGTTGTTGAATAAATGCTGGATTTCTTCGATCAAGTCTAGGGTTGTTTCAGAACCCATAAGATACGAACACCATTGAGTAGGTGGAGACGACATCTACGTGCTTCCTGATGAGCTTGAAACACTGTTAACAATAACCCAAATGTGTATTGAATTCCAGTAAGAAGCTTATTGAGCAGAATAAACTATCTGTAGCTGCCTATTCATGAATCATAGATCTTGGCCAAACTTTTTGTTCATTGAAGTTTACAAGTGCCTGAGAACCCTTTGCTTCCATTTGTCTTCTGTAACGAATGGGAACCAGAAGAATGTTACACCTTTGCCATCTAAGAGACATGAATGTTCGACCACAATACAAAGATTAGTCATGAAAATGTGAAATTCATTGTAATCAACCAAATATCATATTTTGTATATGGAATGGAGATCCTACTGTAGAATGGTGAAAAACTAGATCTTGTAAGAAGTAAGCTAGGGTTAAACTTCAAAGACATGATTTTTAAGTCATAAACAAATGGACACAAAAATATGTGTTTGTATTGTAAACATGTAAAAAACTTTTTTAAGAAGAATTAGTGTGTCTAGGATATAAATTCACACATAAATTGGTAAGAAACATATTAATGTACAACAAGAAAATTTTTATTTTTATTTTTATTTTTAAGTAAATAAAGTTAAAATGGTTATTGTTAGGAACAACGAAATTAAAGAGCTTTAAACCAAGAGTGAAGTACAAAAACATTAAGAATGACTAGAATAAGAATGGTCTCAAATATTTGTCTACATAATAGCAATAAAGAATGCTATTTTGAAGTTTTTTGAAGATGGTGAAGATTGCAAGTTGTCATGTGCTTCCACACAAGCACCTTAGATACAAGAATTTTTGAAGAGAGATTCTAAAACAACATTGCACATCTAGGGATATTTAAAATTCAATTTATTTTATTTTATTTTATTTATTTTATTTATGTACATTGTATTATAAATGCATATACTACTTAAATGAAAAGAGTAAATAGAAGTAAACAAAATATACTAGATCATAATATTTTTAAAAAAATATTATATACTAATTATATATACAAATTAATGTTTCTTTTATTATAAATATCATAAAACTTAAAACCTTTATAATTAGAGAATCTTGTTTATTTGTATTAGAATATTTAAACTTCTTGCTTATTTATATTTAAAATAACTTTCTGTTAAAACCTAACACACTTTTACCAAAAAGGAAAGAAAAGGACAAAGAAAATATAATCTGTATCTAGAATTCAACATACGAAAATTCTTAATTCAAACAGTTTAGAAAATATTTGTACTTCTAAAAATCTTTAAATTTTGCTTAAAATTAATGAAAGCAATATGAAAATTTAAAACGTACTTTATTTCATTATTAAAAATGTAGAACTCAAAATGAAAATCTTCGTTTTGTTTTCACACTTAATTTTAAGTCGTGTTTTTTATTTTTTTAAATGGAAAATAGGAATAAATTTGAGCTTTAGAATATACTACTTAATATCCAGTAAATTCCAAAAAGCCAATTTGAAATTTCATGTTTTATAAATATATTGTGTTAAAAATTAAATGTCATTTAATCACATAGTACATGAACATGCAATTTGGATATTGAGTAAAACAAAAAAACAAACAAACAAACATATGTGATGTGACAAATAACATTTGAAATAGTATTATTTTAACATTTATAATACACATTTTGACTATTTTTTTTCAAATTCCCATCTGTGTTAAAGATTTACAGGTCATACAAAATACATCATTATATATTAATAAATATTATATCTTTTCTTTTTTACTTGTAAAATTTTCTTTCATTGTATTTGAAATTATAAAATCATATCAATCAAAGACACGTATTGGTGGTCAGAATCTTTGAAAATATAAAATTCTACTCCTTGTGTTGAGGAATTGCATTCAGATCCTTTATGGGCATTTTATCACCTACTGTACGAAATAAATACAGGGATGAGTGGCCTGTCTTAAACAAAAACCAAATTTTTCAAGAAAACCACTGCGTAGAGTAGAAATCCCATCACTCAATAATCCTTCAAAAATATATCATGGTTCATGCGTTCTACCAACATATGAGTTCGAAAGTTTATGTTAAAAAAAAGAAAAAGAAAAAAAACAGGAGAACGACGACCCGTAAGTTTCAAATGTGAGCCGGAAGTAAAGAATCATGTTGCAAGGTGAGAGCCAGTGCTATCTTAGATGACTCTTTAGAAAAGGTAAATTACAGATGCTAAAGAAGGCAAGGTGAAACAGCCACCGTCCTCGTCACTATTTCCCAAGCAACGTCTGCTCTATTACTTTGTCCCATCATTTGACAAAGCCAACTCGCTAGTCCGGGCATGTCCCATCAGTGAAGGACTAGGGCTCCACTGATCAGGCACCATGACGAAGTAAGTCGACATTGCCTTACGGAATCTCTTCTTGTACTGTAATGGTGAGATTACAGTTGGTGCTGCATTTTTAGGACCACCAAGTATACCAGATGCTTTCACCCAGGTCTCCAGATGTTTATCCCACGTATATTGGCGAATAAAATCAATTATACCTAGTACTAACTCTTGTCGCTCTTCATCCACACCAACAAGCAGAGAATAATCCATTACGTGTACTCCCTGTGGCACCATCCAATTAACAATACGATGTTAGAAGATGGTCACGTCAAAAGAGGGGGTCAACCCAATTCACCCAAGACACTACCGCTTCAAACCACAGGTGCACAGAAGGTGATCACCTAGGCATCGTAGAATTATAACTCCAAGAACGAAAACAAAGGTCACAACTGAGATGTATTAAATGGTTTAGAAAGTGCAGACATGACGTGAGATTCAGACCGATTAAAAACATGTTATCAATTCGATATACAATGTACAATGTCGTCTGCCATTACTCACCGCAAGGAAAGCTGTGTCATTCCAAACAGCCCTTTCAAGCAAACGCTTAGCTTTGTTGCTGACAAAAATTGGAGAAGTTGGCATCATCTCCAACAAGTTTTCATCCAGCAGCACCTTGTTGTTTCCTGTGAGGTCGGAATTATATCTTGATCGCACAGATCCTTTCAGATCATAGAGGCGGCTCACATTGCGTGCATAGAGAAGATTCTCCATTACAAGTAAGTCGAGCTCTTTATTTCCTTTGGGTTGCCTCACTGACACCTGCCAACGACGTTCCGATAAAGTAAGAACCAGCACAGACAAAAAGAAATCTAAAAAGCTCGGAATACTGGCAAATAATCAGAAATGTTAAAATTGAAGATGTGGCCCACCCTGTACAGTCCGACAATCTTCGCAAGACATGTAGGACTCCCAGAGTTGAGAGACTCGGTGAGATAATTGAAGTATTGTGGAGCGAAGCCCAAGAAAGATATTTTCTCAGTGCTCGTCACTTGTTTCACAACAAATCGATCATCCATGGTCTTAGCAAAAAACACATTGCTTTTCCCTCCGTGAGCTCCCCACTTCTTGCATCTGCTCATTGAGCGTATATAATCCATATCTCCTCCACAGCACTTTTTCCTAAGCTCATCAAATTGTTTTGCATAATAGCAAGTGACACGGAACTCAACTTTCCCGCTTTCTTTAGAGTCTGTGAACGCCACCTTGACATCTCTCTTCTTGCTTGGTGCCAGTACTTCCACAGAAGCGCTTCTCAGAAGCTTCTCTTTGAGAATCATATCATTTTCTACGTCGATGCTCGCGGTGGACTCCTCCATTTGATGGATTGAGTCTATCATACCTGCGAAGTCTCCAGTCTCGTTCTCCTCATTTTCTCGAAACTTTTCTTTGGGTTTTTCTTTGTCATTCTCTGCAACCGCTTCTCCAAGCTCTGCCTGCAATAAGGAAAAGTGATTCCAACTTATTCAATGTAGGAAATTTGATAAACATTTATGAAAGGACTACATTTGAAATTACAGGACATAGCTGCAAGGATAAACAATGTGGTACGATAAGCACTGAAGCAATCAGCAGCTAGTACGGAATGGTAGTACATTGCACTACATTCACTTACATGGTATTTTGGGGTGAGAAGCGCATATGCAATGATGCTTGTTGGTTCATCATCATGGACACTAATTGCAGTGTTATTGACACCGTGTGGAAGAGAGAGCCGTGCTGCACCAGATACATAGAGATGTCCCGTAAGAGAAACAATCATAGGTGTTGATGGGATTGCCCTTGGTGGAGATCCTGCAATACTACTCTGAGTTGATCCGGGATGGCTATACACGTTTTTGCTGTACAGATTAGACAATGATCCAGCACCAACACCTGCAAATTCCTCAGGTAACTCTTTGTTCTTGAAGCTAGACCTTAATGGGGATGTTGGAACGTTTGGTTGCAAGGTCGCGTCACTTTTCTCGACCAATTCTTTGTCTTGCAAAAGAATATCTCCGCTGCCTATCAAAGACATCTCTTTCGAGAATTCATTGCCAACACTCTCCATCTTTCCAGGAGCAGATATGACTTTGTGAAGACCTACGCTTCCCTGCATATTAGAGACATCCACGCTGCTGGAACTTTCTGGCCAGACCCCTTCGAGGTTTTCAGAATCTGTAGTGGCAGGGCTAAAGCCCTCAGGTAATGAACAAACCAAACTTGAATCTACTTCATCTGGACAGTTGAGGCTTGCCAAAACTGCACACACACAACATTGTTTAAAATTGATACGTCACACTTCAAGGCTCCGCCAACGATTAAAAAACAATAATTCATGCGCCAACATGAAAAGATACATAACCACGTTGAATGAACATTCTGGTCCTCATACAAGCAAGATAAACTAATGCGATGATTTTAAGTGAAATCACGGAGCGAGGTGAATTAATAATAGTAGTATACCTCTTGGAGTGCTGCCTATCCTGAAACCCTCTTGGAGTGGTTCCCCGCTTTCTGCACTTGCCAAGTCTTCGAGGACACCAGGAAAAGAAAATGGAGTTGAAAATTGTTTGGAGAGACCTATTGAGCTCACATAATCTGTTCCCGAACTTTCATCAAGCTCATCAAGCAATAACGGGTGAACACCAGAGACGGAGGTTATTGTAGATTGAGCATCAAGAGCGTCAGCGGCCACCGAAGGGGTAAAAAGCCTGAACATTTCTTCACCAGTACTAGCAGACTCAACGCTGGCCTCCGAAGTATCTTCCACATTCTGCTGCTTGTGAGCTATCTGTTCTACTTTTCCTCCGGTGGAATTGTCAGATTGCTCTTGCTCTTTTCGATATCCCATATCTGAGTTTGAACTCGATATTGGCTCTTCCTTCGCTGTAGAGTTAACCTCTAGATCCCTGAACCTTCCGAATGAAGTATTGCCAATTTTAGAAAGCAACAATGTTGAATCAAGAAAACCTGGATCAGAGTTCCTCATCTGCGGTCGCACATTCAGAGAGCTGGAGAGTTTAGAAAGACATTCTTCCCAGGCAGCAGAAGTTTCTGCTAGGTGATGTCTGATCTTATTAAGAGCTAGAATGTCTGCCACCAGCGGGGCAGACAACGGTGCAGCCATGTGTAATAGTGTCTGCAAAACGGTATTCCAACGAAAACATAACAAAGAAATTGTCGTTAGTATAACTACCCACAACAGAACACTAGATTCCTAAGCGAAAAAACTGAAATAACGTGTACCCGGCGAATCACCAGTAAGTGGATGGGCGCTTTCTCCAAGCTGTATCGCGTTCATAATAGATTGGATGACTTACCTCAACCTCCGCTTTCTCTTTCTGCAACAAGCTTTCCAACTCCACAAGCTGCCGCCTAGCTTCAGAGAGCTTGGCACTGGAGTACAAGAACTTCGAGCTTGCTATCTTTTCCCCAAGAACACCTATGGCATTAAAAATCTCTGCAAATACTAGATCTGATTTATTTGCGACCTGTTTCAGAGCCCACATTAGTGAAGTGAGAAACTATCACTCCTATCACGCACACTAGCACTTCTAGATGTCATGGTGCAACACCACCATACCAATAACAGCGTCGCACACAACTCGAGATGAGAGAAGAAGCAAAACAAGTGACTCCAAGCACTAGGTAACACTCTTTATGTGACAAGTAACTGAATTACGGAGACGAATTGGATGCATGACGCTTCATGCATTTTGAAATTTCAAAATTCGAATACCTCATTTGCTTCATTAAGTAGCCAGCCCTGCTGCTTAGGATTGTGAAATTCTAGCTGCGGAGGAGGAACAGCCACAGAGTGGAGGTTGATAGTCGCATATTTAAAGCAAGCCACAAAGCTGCCACACCTGAATCCACCAAAAAAGAGCCAGTAATGTTGCAAATGCAAAATTGGGCTACTATCTTGCGACTTCAATTAATGATTACACATTAGGATACAGTTCCCATTTGAGCAATGCTACACTACTCAAAATTCAGAATGCAGAAAATACTGAACCAGTACTGAAGCCTAAAATAATGCAGAAATTTCGGATAATGCTCAGAAAAAGGAGCTAGTGTACTGTACCCATAAAATCTGAGACAATCTCTATGCAAAGAGTGGCCACAAGCTGCAGCACGGCTGGCCGCAGCATGGTTTGAGAAACTAAGTTCCAAAAACTTGCCAAAAGAAAGGCCCCAAGCTGCATCTGACATTACAAGCCTTCTAGTTGCTGGAGGAACACCATCTGTTCGTGGACAACGAAGACATCGATGCCACATCCATATCCTCCCATCTTTCTCCCCTGGCAGCTCAGTATCCCTTAGTCGTTGCACAGAAATAGTCAAACTCCCTTGGCGATGTGTATAGCAATGAACATGCGAATCCAGCGGCTCCTCGCAAGAACCACAACTGCTGCTCTGTAGAGACGCACACAATTCTTAGTGGTTTAAGAATTACAAATACTTGATATAGAACATCGTTGAAATTCTACTACAATATAAAAAGATAATAAATTACCATGGTTTATTGGTCACTTGACCCCAGTTCCATAAGCTGGAAGAATTCCGAAATAGAGCACTAAAACGATAAGTAGAAGTCGAGAAAAATTCGAAAACTCACCACATTGAAAAGAGAATCCTTTAAGAACTTTCCAAGAGGTTTATCAGAGCTTCCGTAGTACTTGATACGCTTTAAGTGGGGACGCTCACAAACGCTTCCTTTGCGCAAGCATCGACTTGATAGAGAGACCAAGATACTCTGATGATCTGCCAATGGTGGAGGGAAGTCATCCTTCGTCACAGTCCCCTGAGCGGTAGAACTTTCATTAACATCCTTCGTATTCTCCAGCTCAGACGGTAGGTCTTGTTGGCGCAGGTCTCCAGCGGAAGAGAGCTGCATGACTGCTCTTTTGTCCTGTTCACGTCAAAGACGAGTCAGAGAACATATTCTAGGACCTACAGAAACAAGTATCTTCTACTGGAATGCAGTTTGCAACTAAAACTTTAATTGTAAGACAAAGATCTCTCATGCTTTCAATTAGATCCATAAAAAAAATGCAGCTACGACCAGCTATATCCTAAAAACAATAATAAGAACAAAATATTACTTATTCATTTGAGCAGCACTACAACGTAAAATAAGATATAAATAATATAACTCTGCACCTAAAATGAAATGATGCTTGGGTACACGTCATGAGGTTGAACAACAAGCTCAACTAAGACAAATAATAACACAAGAAATGCGGGAACCTACCCATGATGTATCAGACGTGTTCTGTTTCACATTCTTGGATCCCGGATGAGGCTCCATATTAATATAAAATGATGGTCTGGTACCTGAAACTGCCTGAGAAACAGGAAAATTGTACATTTCGGGTTTATTCTCTACACCACCCAAAGCAGGATTGGAGAGGGCATCTGGAACATCTCCTATCGAAGCTTTAGTTGGTAATGACGATTGGGACTTCTTGCCTTGCTGATGAGATTGAGTGTTAGGTGCCTAATAAACAAGAAGCAAACGAACAAAAAGGACAAGGTAAATTAATACATCCTCCGTTATGAGTTCCCAGTGCTGGTATTGGAAATAATGTATTCACCTTTAAAATACTTCTGCAAACGAAAGTACACCTATTCCAAACACAAACAACGCCACATGAATAGAGCATCATCAACTGCAAAGCACTGCTTGTCATCCACTTATCCAGCATCGGTAACCTAGAGCGTGCAGCTGCAAGTCTCATTGGAACAACATCGTAAAAACAACAAAGTTAAATGCTGAAGTCTTCATTGTAAAAGACAAGCATGACCCTTAGTTAACAAATAGTAATCGTGAAGGTAAGCGATCCAGGCATCGAGACAATCATGCACAAGGAACAATGCTTACAAGAGGATGTCCAGACAATGGGCGGCCGGTGATGCTCGACATGGAGGAAACTGGTCTATCCGATCCCCGTTGTGTGCCTTGAACCGAGCTCACTGGAGATGAAAGTGAAAGTTCAGGTAATGTAGCACCCTCGTCCGCCAAGAACGACGTCTCTAATGCCAGATGATAAGCAGCAAATACAGCAAACTGCACTACCTTCTTCACACTCTTCAGTTCTTCTGTAGTTGCGCCTCGTAGAAGAACTGTGCAACCCAAAGGTCTTGGGCATCCTTCAAAAAACATAAGATACTTTGGACCTGGTCTACCTCCCTGACCTTTATAGTCATGCTCCTCTACAAATTTTTCAATGTGAAACAGTTCACATTGACCATGAGTAGGCGCCATAAGATATTCTGGAGAAGCAACTATCTGCAATATTTGAATAACCAGTAAATGCCTCAGACCCAGGCTCCATGTTATAAGTAAATGTAATCGGATTCTTTCGTTGTATTCTAATACATTACAAACTCAGGGAGTGCTAGATTACGGGAAAAAACAAGTAGGTTCAAGACTGACCTGAGCTCCAGTACACCGAGAAATGCGGTCCAAAAGTGGCCTCTTGACATTCAAAACAACTGAAATTTCTTTCTCCAACAACTTGTCCTGCGCATATCTTGACACCGTTTTCTCCACCAAGAGAACATGAGGGTGGTGGGCTTCAATACGGGCAACAGTCATGCTGAGATGATCCCTCTCCTGCAAAAATGTGATGTTAAATACGGCTAACGGTTGCACTTGTAAACCGTTAGCTGAAGGTCTTTAAATAAAACCACGTGATTTTGTCGTTAGAAAAAGCGTATAGTGCTAGCTACAGCTGGACAAAATGAGTAACCTCATAACTCAACCAGAACACATGAAAAGTTCCATAATATGTCCTCAAACTCACTCCAGATCTCTTCAGATGTACAAACCTGTTGTAGCAAAGTATCAAGAGATGAAAGTTGATTAGAAACACGGTGATACTCCAAAGCCCCACCCAGTAAAAGAAGACGAGGGTTCTTGAAACGAGATTGCATGCGTCGATTTTGCACATTTTTATGACATACAATACCCTTTACGACCGTGCTGCTCAACAACATACAATGACGGCGATGTTAGTTTGAGCTCCATCACTCTTAGATAAAGACTTCATCAATTTTAGTGAGTTTTCTGTTCTTAGATTTTTAAAAGACATAAAACTACAGTTTAGTTCTGAAAGAAGCTGAAATATTAACTGCCACATGTACGTAGTCGGTAATGGTAAATACTGATCCTTGAAATTCAGGAATACTCAAATATAAAGTGACCGTGTGCTAGTCCCAAGTGAGGGTTGTTTATATCAAAAACATGTAAAAACGATCTTTTTACCTATCTTCGCGCCGTCCAGAGGCTATACATTTGACCTTCACATAGCCACCTGGATCCATTCCACCTCCTTTACTTGTATCCGGTTTAACAAGACTGGCAGCTTGTAACGACAACGTACTTACAATTTCCAACCAGCTGCTTGGGCCTCCTCTAAACTGCTAGAGCAGTGAAGTGTTAACATTTGTAGCTTCAACAATGAAAACTAAATCATAAAATTTATGAATTTATGCAAGTCATAAAACTCTATGCTACTTCTGTTACAACAAGCTATGTATCCGGTGCAGAATTACTTCAATCATATCCAATTCGAACCACCTGTTTAGGATAAAATCTTCGCTTGTTCAGAAAGTGATATTGCAGAACTACCTTAATATATAATATGAATAATAGTGTAAGAAAAAGACGAAGTGCTGCATATATAGAGCACATACCCGCACATCTTCTGCAATAAGAAGCTGGGCAACAAGGGCTCTGAAATGACCATCAACTATGGCCCGCATTGCTGCCTTGCTCCTATTCTCACTGCTGCTGACACTCCCAGGCATTCGCGGCACCCACTCAACATCATCGTCATCCTCATCGACCTGAACTTGCAAACAAGAAAGAGGAAAATGAATGAAGAGTTCTTTTAGAAAGAAAAATCACGAAAACCGCTCCTCATCCTTGCCTTCACTTTTGTCAAGAAAAGGCAGCGGGCTTTCGGCATTTCCAGAGATGAATTCACGTGAATATGACACACTAAACCAACTTATCATTTATAATAGACTTCCAGTGAAATTCAGAATACAGAATTGAGCAGCCTAAGGATCTTTGCTAAAAGATGCGAGTTGCAATATATTTAAAAAAGTTCAAGGCAGAGAAGATGTCGATATCCATAACCTTAGAAATGCGTGTAAAAATGTGTGCGAACTGAAAGATCAGAAACAATATCCGCTTCAAGAAGCAAGAGAACTGTGAACTAATTTCTAGTTACGCACTTTGAAGTTTGAACTTCGAAACAGTAGCGTAAATTACCATCTTCCCGCTACATCCATCATCAAAATGTTCCATACCCCAAGAAATCGTTAATGCGATCACAGGCATGTCTGAAGTCAGTAAAGCTACAACATGCTTCACATCCCTCTCTAACCAACTTCCGAGACACAAAACGTGTAATTCTTTGCATAGCTTACCAAGCTCATTTCAGTTTCATCAACATCTTCGGGAGGCGGCGGAACCCAGATAACCCCGTTACTCTCGTAATCAAAACTTGGATGGTCAATCTCATTTGGAACAGGTGACACAAGAGGCTCTTCCTCGTACATAGGGGGTTCATTGAGAATCCCATCAAGGCTCTCAATATCATCACACGATTGAGCACTTCTCCACATTACAGAAGTCTCCCCATCGACATCCCTGTCCACGACGTCGGGTAAGGTAGCTTAATATAGAATATGTTAAATAATGATAGTAATACCAAATAAATAAATAAATAAATAAAACTGAAAGTCAAGTGCTATCTGAAACTACACGCGCTTCTCAACCACCTTATTATCAAGCCTTTATTCCATGTAGGTTCAGCTTATCGTACTAAAGCTGTGAGATTATCACAACTCAAACTGCTGTGATTATTAACATTATTAAAATGATGATGATAAGAAACGAGAACATATCAAAATGAGCATCTAACAAGAGGACAGGAACGTCATATTTCCAAGCCATGCCTCCTAAGACAATCGAATGCCTGGAAGCTAGCTTTAAATCATTATACTACCAGAATCCACACTCTACACAAACCCGTAAACGATGGTCGCACCATATCGAGCTTCACACCTGCTACCGCGGACTTTATCGACCATCACAGGAATTCCTCCCACATTATGAGAACCATCGTTAGAGGTTTGCAATTTCCCACGCCCATCCGCGTAGTCCAGGTCCAGAACGCTATCATCCTCATCATAAAGATCTCTTTCAGTCTTCTGACCTTGATCCTCCTCGTCATCACTCCTGCATAAACCCAGATTTATGTGGCAGCAAGAAAACACTTGGCAAGAAAAAATGGTAATTACCACCAAAATCTCAAGATTCGATGCCTCTCTGAAGAACGTTCTCACCAACAAAAGACCTTCATCTCCAAGACCCTCCTCAACGTTCAAAGCACTTTCAGCAGTGCTATTGTCATTAAAAACGATAATAAAATCGCTGACCTGCAAAACTCATAGAGACTTGAAGCTTGATCCCTTGATTGCCCATGAAGACACACAGTACTAACAGGTTGAGTGTTCATGCATAATGCACAAGCAGGGTTCCCATCCACAGGAGCCTCTAATTCCGCAATATTGCCATCGGGTGAAGGGAGAGGTCTGGGAGAGTAGGTATCATGATTCCCAGAAGGTGTCTTGCTAGTTGAGCCTGATGCCGTGTTGAAATTGTACCCTGGCTCCGACGGACTCAAAGTTTGACTTGTTGGCGAGTCCACAGCAAGAATGACGCGATCGGTATATTCTTGCTCACTCCGGAGCTTGAAACAAAAGTTGCATACACGGACTCGCTCGTTTTCGTCGTGGCCACTGCGAGGGCTGAAAGAGGCCGGGATGGTATTGAGGGTACATCTTCCACAAAAGACGCGGCCGCAAATTCGACAGTGATGTCGCCGATTAAAGATTGTGAACTGAGAATCGCATTCATAGCACATGCGACAGCTTCGATCGGGCATCCAAAAATCTCGAGACATGACTGTAGCCTCATCCTCCCTGCTGCCAAGGCGAGGGATCCACGAGGTCACCCGTTCTACAATATCTGCCAATGCATGGGCTGCTTCTTCCATCAGCCATGCCAGAAGGCCCGCATTCCTTGATAACGCTTGTGCGAAGGCATAATCCACAACCCTAATGCCTTGAGAAATCGAGAACTGCAAAAACTTCTCTATAATTCTTCATAGTGATCCAATACCGGGATAGGTGACTTATTCTGGTCCACCAATTTTCCTTCTATCTATATATAAATAAGACCACGTCATCTTCATACACAGATGTGTGTAGCCTCCCCTAAAGCCTAAAAAAGAAAAAAAGCGATTCGAAATACAACCACAGTTACTCTCCAAGATCTACGCAGCAAGTGCCAGCTCCGATACGATGAATACGAAGTTATTAAGCTTGGACCAACGCTACATTTTCCAACTCCTTTCTGCGTGCCCGCAACAGCGAAATGCCCCGCAACAAACTCAACCCTAATCACAAGCCACTTTCCCAACGTTTTGAACGCTTCAACCAAAACTTTCACACTCCTTGTAAGCGGAACATGAACATAGTAGATGAGAACCCAAGAACTCTTGCACAGTCTTCGGCAAATGCTGACGCTAAATCCCCTGCAATTTTAAATTGTTCCATTGCACATAAGACGACAAAATATTAAAAAAAATTAAAAAAAAACATAAAAACCGTTCTGGAAATTACGCAGGACGTAGATTCAATCAAGTGAGGACAGAAAAAAATTCATTGAAGCAACGAAGCTTGCACCGTTCCCTGTAACATCTCTATCTTTTATTACAAGGTGCAAAAATTCGACGTGAACTTGAAGCTGTCCTTTCAACTAAAAATCTGGAGAGGCTTTTCTTCCACAGCGGCTATCCACATGGGATAGCCCACACAAAGTTCAAAAACCATGCGCCACTCTATCTCCAAGCTCAACCTCGTAAAACCTCTTAAAACAGGACGACTATGCTTCCAACAAAAACAAAATGAACAAAAATGAAAAAGTGATAAATGAAAAAAGAAAAACAAAGAAGTAGAACAAATAAAAAATCAACATGCGAGGAAGTGCAACGACATACACAACTCACGAGGCACACCGAAAATCTGAATCACCTACGCACAACAAACTTGCACCTAAAGTTACAACACAGACCTCCCACGACAAAAATATATATATATATATATATATGTATATCGCGAATCATTACCTCCAAACCACCTAAGCACAACTATTCCGCCAAAGCCTCCACGAAACCTCAGCTCGAGATCGAGTCGACGATCAGTCTCAATGAGCAACAGTCTCTCCCTCTCTCTCTCTCTCCTCACTCCCAAGGCCTCAGAGAGTCAACCCGAATCAGACAGAAAAAGAGCAAGCCACACTGCAGAAACGCCAGATGCAAAATATATTGAATCACGGCACACGAAACGAAGATCTGCAGATGCAGAATTCAGCAACGACGAAGGACTCGCGTAGCCCCCGCAGCGAGAACGGGGAGGAGGAGGCGCGGGCCCCGGAACCCGAGCAAGTGAGACGATGGCAACAAGCTTCAGCAGCAGCACACAACAACAACGACACAGAGACAGCAAGCCAGCTAGAAGCGGGCAGTGGGCAGCGGGGCAGCCTGGCTGGCTACTCCACCTCCTCTTCTTCCTCCTCTTGCAGATGAAGACGACGCAGTTGGTTCCCCACTGATCCTTCCTTCCGGTGGTTCGTTCTGTTCGTTGGTTCCCCATTCCCGTTCCCGTTGTCTCGTTCGGCGTGATTGGGAGTGCCCGTCGGCGAGGTGAGGGCAGGGAGGCGAAGGGGGGGGGGGGGGGGGACATGAGAGTGCGTTCCCTCGTCCCACGCGATTTATACCGCCGAATGGGTGTTATTAATTATAAGTGGGAAGCCTTCGGGCGCCCGGGGGGGGGGGAGGGGGGGATGATGCTGCCTGCTGTTGCTGCTGCATGGGAGAGGAAGAGGACGAGGAAGATCAGCACAGCCCGGACACGCAATGCAAGTCCAATCCCCCCCCCCTTTCCCATTCCCCCTCCTTAGGCCGCCTTTCCCTTCGCTTTGGTCTATTCCATTCCCCTTTCCCCGATACGCCCTCCCTCCGAGCCTCTTCCGAACCTCGGATCCCCGAGCCTCCTCACCAATCCCCTTCCTCTCCACTTCTCTTCTCCAAATCCTCTCTCATCTTCTCTTTGTTATAATTCCTTTACATGTAACTTCATTATAAATCTACTCCGTGCATACAACTATTATGCCACCCACAAATGGTAGCACTAAGCTTGTCACTTTCATGTATTCTGCTACTTTAAATGGCTTTATAAACATTTTTGTGTGGTATATCTTGTTTAAATGGCATTGATCAAAATAGTTGGAGAGTATATCGCCAAACATTGTCTATTCTTTTCTTTTTTTAAAATGGTAATCGTCTACTCCATCTTTATACCATTGTCTGTGACCATGTGTACTGCCAGCAATACTTACTCTTCTAATGGTTGCATTTAAATATTTTTTTATTATTATTATTACAAACCATTTATTTAGATAAACTTGAGGCAACTCTCAAACAATGATATACAGCTTTTGTTTTCCATTCTAACGTTGATAGTTATGTTAGTTACTGACACCATTTTATGCATGTATGGATGAATTGTTATGAAAAACATAAAGAAATCAATCAATTAATTAATAGCAACATATATGGTTTTGCATAAGTTGCAAACAATTTATAACTCGTGCGAAACATATTACTTGATGAGATAGGAAAAAAAATTACATTGAGTATAAACATTCAAGTTTGTAAATATTTTGTTTCTGCTCAAAAGGGTCAGTTAATTCTAACTAGTATTTCATATATTGAAGAAATAGAATTTTGAAGTCACAACACATAGCACCAGCAAGGTTATACATAAAGAGAGTATGGAATAAGATATCTCTCACTTCTAACACCCAATACTTATAGGTTGTAGTTGCTGCCCTACAAGACAACTTCCACTCATTGAATTTTACACACATGATCCTTGGTCCTAGAATCCTTTGGTATCTAACGTACCTCGAGGGTATCATATAGTCTTTGGATCCTTTGGCATCTTACTAACCACAAAGGTCTCCTATGCCAAACACTAATTACTCTTATATTATTTATGGATATTCCCTAGTTCATACTTTATCCTCTAGACTTTGACTCTTGGTCCTTGACCTCATCCTATATCCATAGGATGCTCTTTCTATATACCAAGAGTCAATCCTTTGACCATTAGCAACTTATCTTAGGTAATATCCTCCATAAGGTAATTTATTCTACTTTCACTTTTATTTCAACACTCCCACTTTACTATTGGTCAAAAGACTTTTAATCCTAATGCCTTTGTCAACATGTGATGTCTATCCTTTACTAATGCTTTTATCAACAAATCAGCAAGCATGTCTTCTGTTACACAATACTTCATATCAATCACTCCCATTTCAATCTTTTCTCTTATGAAGTGATGTTGAATGTCAATGTGCTTGGTCCTTGAATGATGCTTTGGATTCTTTGCAAATGCAAGACATCCTTGATTGTCACACTTCATTCGAGTTGCTTCCATTTGCACATCTCTAATGTCCTCTAAAAGTTGTCTTAGCCATATTGCCTCCATTGCACCATGGCTTGCTGCCATATACTCCGCTTCCATTATTGACTTTGCAATTGTTGGTTGTCTTTTACAATTCCATGAAATTGCTCCCACTCCAACAAAGAATACATATCCCATTGTTGACCTTCTATAATTTGTATCTCCAATCCAATCTGCATCACAATAATCATGCATAGTAATGTTATGACCTCTAAGACATAATTTGAAGTTCAAAGTATATTTTAAGTACCTCATGATCCTTTTGATGGTTGCCCAATAGATTAGTCCAGCCTTTGACATGTGTTGACTTACAACACTCACCGCATATGCAAGATCCACTCTTGTGCCAATCATTATATATATTAGTGAGTCCATTGTTGCTTTGTATGGAACACCTTATATTTGTCCTTCAACTTCAGCAAACTCTTCTTCCGTGAGCTTCATCAACCTCAAATTGACCTCCAAAGATATTCCAATAGGCTTACACTCCTCCATGTTGAATCGTTTCAACACCTCTTCAATGTACTTACTTTGATTCATTGTAATGGTCTTCTTAGCACGATCTCTCACAAACTCCACTCCTAAACAATAGTGAACCTCTCCCAAATCACTCATCTCATATTTTTTTTTTTCTAATTTTGCTTTCAACCAATCCATCATCTTCATAGCATTGATTGAGATGATTAAATCATCAACATAGAGGATGACAAACAATATAAACTCTTTTGATTGCATCACATATAATGAATGATCAACTTTACTCCTTATAAACCTTTCATTCACAAAGGATGTATCAATATGTTGGTACCATGTCCTTATTAAAGAAATACTATAAGCATAACACAAGTAAGTAGAAATCAGCAAGGTTGCACATAAGACTTCTCTCTTATAAAGTGATGTTGAATATCAATGTGCTTCGTTCTTGAATGGTGCTTTGGATTCTTTGCAAAAGCAAGGCATCCTTGATTGTCACAATTCAATAGAGTTGCTTCCAATTGCACAAGTCGAATGTCCTCCAAAACTTACCTTATCCATGTTGCTTCCATTGCACCATGGCTTGCTGCCATGTACTCCGCTTCCATTGTGGACCTTGCAATTGTGGGTTGCCTCTTGCAATTCCATGAAATTGCTCCCACTCCAACAAAGAATACATAGCCCGTTGTTGACCGCCTCATGATCCTCTTGATGGTTATCCAATGAAGTGGTCCTGCTTTTGACATGTGTTGACTTACGACACTCACTGCATAAGCAAGATCCATCCTTGTACCAACTATTGCATACATGAGTGACCCAACTGCTGCCTTGTATGGAACACCTTGCATTTGGCTTTCAACTTGTGCAAACTCTTCATCCGTGAGCTTCATCAACTTCAAATTGGACTCCAAAGCTGTTCCAATAGGCTTGCAATCCTCCATGTTGAATCGTTTCAACATTCCTTCAATGTACTTCCTTTGGCTCATTGTGATGGTCTTGTTAGCACGATTTCTTACAAATTCCACTTCTAAGCAATAGTGAAGCTCTCCCAAATCACTCATCTCATATTCCTTTTCTAACTCTGCCTTCAACCAATCCATCATCTTTAGAGTATTGATTAAGATGATTAAATCATCTACATAAAGAATAACAATCATCAAGAACTCTTTTGATTGTATCACATACATAGAATGGTCAGCCTCACTTCTTTGGAATCCCTCATTAACAAAGAATGTGTCAATTCTTTGATACCATACCCTTGGAGATTGCTTGAGTCCATACAAGGATTTCTTCAACTTACAAACAAGATGTTGCTTGCCTTCTTCTACAAATCCTTGAGGTTGATCCATGTAGATGTCTTCTTCCAACTCTCCATTCGAGAAAGCCGCCTTCACATCCATTTGATGCATCTCCAAGTCCATTGCTGCCCCAATTGCCACAATGGTTCTAATGGTGGTGAACTTAGCCATGGGAGCAAATGTCTCATTGAAATCAATACCAGCAACTTGTGAGTATCCTTTGGCAACTAGCCTTGCCTTATATCTCACAATATCACCTATTGCATCTCTCTTGGTTCTAAACACCCACTTACAACCAATTGAAGATCGATTTGGTAGAAGTTGAGTCAATTCCCATGTTCCATTGTTCATGAGAGATTTATACTCTTCTTCCATAGCCTCCTCCCACTTCAACGCATTCGTAGACTTCATAGCATCATATATATTCAATGGATCAGCAAGGAGTACAACATTTGCATGTTCTTCACTTACTTGAGGAAAGATGTGGTCCTTCCACCATTCACCACGTTGTCTTCTTTTTCTTGTAGGATATCTTCTATCATTTGAAGAAGATTCACCTTGATGCTTTCCAACCTTCTTTTCTTTTGAACCTTGTCTTTTCTCACTCAAAGGTTGGTATTCCTCATCATCATCATCATCTTCAACTTCTTCATTGTTTGTCATACCAATTGTATACACTTTCTTCTTCTTCTTCTTCATCCTCTTTGGTTCTTCATGTTGATTCAAATCTCCACTATCTTCATTGTCTTCATCTTCTTCTTCTTCTTTCGTTGCTGAAATTAAAGATGTGTCCACAAATACACCATTACTCCCACTTGGATACATCTCCAAGTGCTCACAAGCACTTTTATGCTCCATAAATTCAACATCACGACTTTTGATAATCTTCTTGGTATCCAAACACATTAGCCTATATGTCTTGGTACCTCCATTGTCTGTACGCAACACCTTGATCTTGCACTCACATTGCTTCTTCACAAGTGCCTTAAATTCCTTAAACTTTGAAAAGCATTCACTCTTGGATTTAAGGAAGAAAATCCACACCTTCCTTGAAAAGTCATCAATAAATGTAACAAAGTACCTTGATCCTGCCATTGATGGTATCTTCATAGGTCCACAAACATCAGAATACACAATCTCCAACGATTTGGTTGCACGTGTTGCAATTCCACTTAGAAATGAGGCTCTTTGTTGTTTGCCTTGAATACAACCTTCACAAGTAA